CTAAGGTTATTTTGAATTTTCATCTTGTTCTCTGGGATATTAGTTAATCCTCCTGATTTGGTATCATTGGCAAATCTGGTAAGTATGTCCCCTATTCTTTCATCCAAGTCATTGATAAAGATATTGTATAGCACTGGGCCCAGGATAGAACCCTGTGGCACCCCACTGGTCACTTCTCTCCAGGATGAAGGAGGAGGAGCCATTGTTGAGCATTTCACCAGCTTGTTTGCCAGAATGTCATGGGGGACCTTGTCAAAGCCCTTAGTGAAATCAAGATATGCTACATCCACAGCATTCCCTTAATTTATCAAGCTGGTAGTTCTATCCAGAGAGAGGGAGGGAGGGAGGGAGGGAGGGAGGGAAGGATCAGGTTAGTCTGGCATGACTTGTTTTTGAGAAACCCATGTTGACTATTTGTGATTATGTCACAGTGTGATGCAGCAGCTAAAAAAGCCAATGCAATTTTAGGCTGCATCAATAGATGTATAGTGTCTAGATCAAGGGAAGTAATAGTGCCACTATATTCTGCTTTGGTCAGATCCACCTGGAATAATACTGTGTCCAGTTCTGGGCACCACAAATCAAAAAGGATGTTGAAAAAATGGAGCGTGTCCAGAGAAGGGCAACTAAAATGGTGAAGGGGTTGGAAGCCATGCCCTGTGAGGAATGACTTCGGGAACTGGGTATGTTTAGCCTTGAGAAGAGATGGTTAACAGATGATATGATATTTAGGTATTTGAATGGGTGTCATATTGAGGATGGAGCAAGCTGGAGGCACATTCTGACAGTAAGGGCTGACAGTTGAACACTCTCCCCCAGAAAGTGGTGGAGTCTCAGATGGAGCAAATAAAGTCATAATAGTTAAGTTTTTTTCTCTTAGTGAGAGAAGAAGCTTCTCATTAGTTGATTGTAGATAAGGTCAAAGAAATTAGAGGTTATCACCCAGCATAAGTAGGTAGGAGATCTATTTTGATTGAATGGTAAGAAAGAGATATAAAGGAGGAGAAGAACAGAAGCATTTGTATGATAAGGAGAATGAGGATGTAGAAGAGGGTAAGAGCACATAGAAAAAGGTATGAGGAAGTAAAAAAGTAGAAAGAGTGGAAGGCTAGAGAGAGAGGGAGGTGATAAGGGGGAGATGAAGTAAGAAGAAGTGAAAGGGAACAGAGTAAAGAGAAGGAAGATGAAGAAAGGGTTAGAAGAGGAAGGTTGAAAAGGAGAGAGGGGTTTTTTAAGGTTTAGGTAGGAGAATGATATTGTGATTTGTATTGTGTACTTGTATGGTGGTATTTTAATTTGGTTGTGAAAATGAGTTGTTGGAATGTTGTCATTGTAATTGTAACATTTATAATAAAGTTATTTTTTTAAAGAAAGAGAGAGAGGTGGAGTCTCCTTCTTTGGAGGTCTTTAAGTAGAGGCTGGATGGCCATCTGTCATAGGGAGTGCTTTGATTGCGAATTCTTGCATGGCAGATGGGAGTTGAACTTGATGACCTTTGGAGTCCCTTCCAACTCTCTGATTCTATGTATGTAAAGAGAAAGTAAACAACAAAATAATTTTAACTATAATTAACCACCCAAGGAACTACAAGCATCCCTTCATGAGGGATCCATTCTGGACTCCCTCATGAATCAGGAGAAAATATTAGCTGTATATATAACTAATTGTGTGTGCATTGTGTGCCTTCAAGTCATTTCTGACTTATGGTGCAACAGGGTTCTATCATGGGCCCAGTGCTATTCAACATCTTTAGCAGTGACTTGGACAAAGGAATAGAGGGCATGCTAATCAAATTTTCAGATCACACCAACTCTATGATTTTATGATTCTATGATAGTCCAGAATAAAAATTTAAATAAAAATAAAATGTGATGAAATTGCTACTAGTTTGTAGCTCTGCTGTGAGTGGGACAGGGAATCCACTTTGGGTCCCCCCCCCAGATTTAACGCTCTCCAAAATACAGACCTCTGCTTACAAGATACTTTCATCACTACAAATAGCATCTTTAAAGTTCAGACTCTAGAATGGCCTACAGTCAACTATTGTTAATATAGTTGGCCTTCCATAGCAGCATTATAAATGGTTTTAATTATATGATGGTTGAATTAATTTTTAATTTTTGTGCTATGAATTTTTAATGATGGTTATTTTGACTGTTGTAGGATCGGACAATGATCAGGATAGAGACTGCAGACAAAAAAATAAAATAAAAAAAACTAGGAATAGGGAGAACAGCTATGAAAGAACTAGAAAAGATTGATAGCAGTAGGCTGTAACAAGATTATGGATGTTATCACACGTGAGTCTCAAAGCGACAAGAAAGCGGTATGGAATCAATCCAGATCTATACCGGTATAGACTCCACAAGACGGAAATGGTTATCAGACGCAACTAGCATCATTGCGCAATTGACGAAAGCAGCATCATTCCGGTATCATTCCGGTCGCGCGATTGCAATTCCCCAAGAAACCGGCATTCAAAAGAACGGGGATGATGCCGCATTGGGACGGGGATGGGACGGGGTTCTGTGCGATATCGTGTGAACACATGGGAAAAGGAACCGCAATGGGACGGGGATGGGACGGGGATGGGACGGGGTTCTGTGCGACGTCATGTGAACACACGGGAAAAAAACGCAATGGGACGGGGGTGGGAGGGGGTTCTGTCTGCTTTAGACCCCATGTGATAATGTCCTATGAAGAGTAAAGACATACAACGAAACACTAAAGTTAGAATCATTCAAACCATTGTATTCCCCATCACTGTGTACACATGTGAGTGATGGATGGTGAAGAAAGCAGATAGGAAAAGAATCAACTTATTTGAGATGTGGTGCTGGAGAAGAGTGCTGAGGATCCTGTGAATGGCCAAAAAGACAAACAAACGGGTCCTTGAACAGATCAAACCTGAGCTCTCCCTGGAAGCCATGATGACAAAATTGAGGCTGTCATACTTGAACGCATCATGAGAAAACACGACTTACAAAATCAGACAAAATGCTTGGGAAAGTAGAAGGCAGTAGAAAGAGAGGAAGACCACATGCCAGATGCCTAGATTCAATCAGGAAGGTCATGGGAATGAGTTTGCAGGACTTGAGCAGAGCAATGGAGGACAAGGGGTCTTGGAGATGTCTCATCCACAGGGTTGCCATGAGTCAGGATTGACTCAAGGTCAGCTAACTACAACAACAAGCCTTCTTGAATCCCAGATTGGGGAAAATATATGACATTTGTTGTTGCTGCTGCTGCCGTTGTTACAAAAAAAAAAAAAAAAAATCCTAGAGGAAACCATACATCCATTTTTGCTCACTTCCTTATGGGCATCAGATGCTTACCCTTGAATCCCAAAGTCCCAGCTGCTCCAAGCAGAACCAAGCAGAATATCCCAAGGGAGACTGCTACAGATCGCCAGTGATGCTTTACTGTGGAAGATACTGAATTAAAGTAAGAAATGATGATATATAAATTGGAACCCTTTTGTAATTTGATTTCAGGAGAAAACAGGCAAATATCTTTGTTTTGGCAATTTTTAAAGCTAGAGCCCATATCATAAGATAACAGCAATAAAAATGACAACCCTAGCTTTGGTATAGAAAAATGCTGATTTTGACTTTAAATAAGGCCACAGAGGATAATACCACCTTAAGGAGAAACCAAAGGTTCTTAAATACAATAGGAAATGCAAAAATCATTAACCAACCATTTTTAAAAAAAGAATCACTTGTACAACTACTTCTTTGGGCTGGTCAAAGTAAATGTAAGTTATGAGATGCTTCCCTTTTTTTTGGACTGGTTTGGAAATGCCCAGAATAAGCTAAAACACTGACAATTTAGAATGCATTTATTTATTTGAAATTTATATCCCGCCTTTCTCCCAAAATGGGGTTCAAGGTGGCTTGCAATAGTTTAAAAAGACAGAACTAAAACATTAATAACAAAAGTTAAAAAATAACTAAATAATACTAATATTGAAACTCAAAAGTATGTAGATGCAATAATTGTGCCTTACATTTTTCACCAGAGCTATCTAGAACATCTTCCTAATGATTTTTAAAATTAAAGGGAGACTCTCCTAGTTAATTGAACATGGTCTTTCAGTTTGAAAAAATCCCAAAGGGTTCAGTTAATCATATCTCCATTGCTCACTACACCCCATCCACCTTTTACCTTTTATTTTGGCTGGCATAGAGGATGGGCTGAGGAAATGACGCTGGCTTAGGAGGGGAAAATGTGCCAGGGGGAGGAATGAATGTAGGTCCTCCCCAAAATCCCAGAATTTCATACAATACAGCCATGGCACTTAATGTCGAATCAAAGTGCTATAATTATTGTGATCAGTATTGTGAAAAGACCCTAGAATGCTGTATGCAAAACAGAATAACTTCCAACACAAAGAACTCCAGATGTATTAGATCAGTATGAAAATAGCTGTATTTGACAACTTGCCACATTCATTACCTTTGTTTTTGCTTTGCTGGAACTCCTCATTCTTGTTCTTCTCCAGTGTAATGAACTTCAGGTCAGCATAAGTCACTTCTTCAGCCATCTCTAGCATGATTTCTAAGTAAACTCATCAAGAACTGAGCCAGACCTGTGCTTTCTAGTCATGAGAGCATGATGCAGATGCAGAAACTGTGATTTGTATGAGACACTTGTGTCCTCCCAAAGACTGGAGAGAAAGGCAGAGTGAAGGCAAAGACTGTGTGTGTGTTCCATTATGAAGCATTAGAGGAGGGCTTTAAAAAGTGATTAACACCACAAGAGTTCTCATCACACAACCATTCATATATACAGGGTTGGGCAGGGAATCAAGGAATTGGTGTTGGACTCTTGTGGTGTTGTTGTTGTGTGGACTCCAAGTCATTTTTTTTACTTATGATGATCCTAAGGCAAACCTATCATAGGGTTTTCATGGACAATATATTCAAAGGGGCTTTGCCATTGCCTCCCCCTGAGGCTGAGAGCATGTGACCTACCCAAGGTCACCCAATGGGTTTTTATGCTTGAGTGGGAAATCGAACCCTGATCTCCAGAGTTGTAGTCCAGCACTCAAACCACTACACCACACTGGCTTTCAGCTGAATTCTTATACCTTAAACTGGAATAAAGAATTAAAGGGATTGGCAGAGAAGTAAAAATGGTAGGATGGGGTGTAGTGAGCAATGGAGGTGTGATTAATTGAATATGAGCAAGTAAATTAGAACGTTTAAGCCAGGGGTAGGCTTAAAGCTGGATACGCCCCCCGAGGCCTTTGGACCGGCCCCAGGCTGGTCCTGCAGCTGCCGCTGCCACCCCCCGCCACCACCGCCGCCATGATGATATTGATTATTGTTGTTATTACTTGTTCTTGGGTTTTCTTGGCAAAATGTCCACAGGGGTTTTGCTATGGCTTTTCTGGGGCTGAGAGAGTGTGCATGCATATTTATTTATTTATTTTTTAAAAATTAATTTTTATGTATTTATTTATTTATTTTTGGTGCTTCAGCCCCCTAATTGTCTGAGGGACAGCAACCTGGCCCCCCAGCTCAAAAAGCCCCCTAATTGTCTGAGGGACAGCAACCTGGCCCCCAGCTTTGCCTACCCCTGGTTTAAGCAAAGTTCCATTTTAATATTCCAGCCTTCACAACTGCGCACAATACATTCAGTTCTTCTTTCTGTCTCTCTCTTTTGGTTTCATTCAAAAAAGATTAAAGAGAGCACAACTAGTTGAAAACCGGGATATATGACCAGCCCCTATAGAGAGAAGGGGTGTGTGTATGTAGATATAGGAATATATATATCACATGTGCATTTGTATAACAATTATGAGCCCCATGACATTGGCAAACCCTATAGCATTCTTTTGCACTGATAAGTGACATTTGAATGCACAAACGTTTCCCCTGAAAAGCAGTACATTCAAGGTGATATTGCAAGGCTGAAAGTGCTATCAATGAGGTGAGACCTGTAATGACCTTTTCACCTGCTTGAGTACATTTCATCCCACGTTCAGGGTGTGGATAATTTGTTTTGTCAGCCTACAACTCCCTGAATCCCTAAGGCCATGCTCGGTGGGGGAATGGAGTAATACTCTTTTAAAATAAGATGTTGATGATGTTGATGTTAATGATTAATTTATATTATGCCATCCAGGTTCATGGTGTTTTACAAACAGTTACAGAATAAAACATTTATAACTATACCAGTAATATAAAATATTATAATACAATACTAAAATGCAATTGGAATGCAGAATAAAACAAAATAGTCAGTCTAGATAGCTAGGTATACTAAAGATATAAAGCAACCCAAAATTCCAAAAGTTTTTGAAAACAAAAATTTTTTCAGTTTGGATTTAGAAACAGCAAGGGAAGAAACAGTCTGCAAGTTTACAGGGAGGTAATTCCAGGAGAGAAAAAGGATGAAGCTGAGCCAAGGAGGTAGAAACCTTTGGCTAGGTGAGAAGCCCAGAATTCCCAAAGTGCAGATTTCTAACAGGCTGCTAAAAAGAGATAAGAGCTGTAAGATAAGGAGGAGATAGGTTGCGCAGTATTCTAAGCAGTGCTCATGTTGGAGTCATCGGGTGATAAACATTCATGTGTCAACCCAGCTGTACTAGTTTAGACATGACTGGTCCACCCAGAGCTGTCTCTGAACACATGTTTGCATGGAAAAAACATATTGTGCTGCTCTCATCCAAAGGAGGGTGAAACGGGGCACATCCTGCAGACAATTTGAAAGACGATTAGTGAATGTCCATTTTGTTATTCAAATAGTTTGTGAGTTTGCATTTAGGGTTCTGACTCTCATTTCTGTCAACATTAACCATTCACCATTCACATTTACTTCACATCCCAAAACACTACACAACACCTTAAAAAGCACAATACAATTTTTTAAAACTCTCAATACAGAGGATAAAATATAATTAGGCTAACTTTGATTTCAAACACACACAGACACACACACACTAAACAGACAAGTTCAAACAGCATTAAAAAGATATGTAAGACATAATACAATAAAAACACACCTCTCCCCATTAAAAACTCTGTAGTTGCCACCAAATGCCCCCTTAAATAAAAAGATTTTTACCTGCTGGCAGAAAGACAGTAGGGAAGAGGCCAACTGGACCTCCCATGGAAAGGAGTTCCACAACTTGGGAACAGCCACGGAGAAGGCTCGCTCTCATGTCCTCACCAGATGTGCCTGAGATGGTAGTAGAACCAAGAGAATGCCTTCTCCAGGACACTATAGAGCATGGGCTTGTTACCCCAGGATCTAACACTCAATCACCCCATTCGACCTTTGATATCAAATTAATATCAAAAGAGAGATGAGGTTGCCAGTGGGTAGCCATCAGGGGGCTCACCAGTGCAGGAAATCAGCCATACCATATTATGACATCTGGATGGCTCAGCATGGGAGAAGCCAAAGGCACTTATCCAAGACTGTTCAAGATAGAAATTAGTGTAATCCCTTCACTGAGATGAGTGATGATGGAGACCTTGACTTGGAAACTGTCTGCATACAACAAACAGTTTCCTTCTGGGAATGAAGCTCTTTCTGTCTGAGGACATTCATACCAATTGTCTGGACATTCTTGGACATCTCATTCTATTCTTCCCCCCTGGGTGTCAGAACCTGTGTACATGAGTTCTGTCAGATGTTTGCTTTGGGGGGTAATAGTTGTAGTTGTTTGGGGGATGATAGGTAGGTTAGTGTATGGGAAATGTAGTTAGTTTTTGTGAAATGTAAGTTGGTTGGGATGGGGAGTTATGAGCAGTGCTGTGATGCTGGATAGTTTTGAGAAAGTTAGGCCTTTGGAATGCGGGATCTGTGGAGAAGGTTGGCTGGTGTCAGCTGGAGAAGGATACCTCTGGTAAAAACATTGGGAAAGGGGGATTGACTTGGTGGGAGAAAAGCTGTGGGAATTGGAGGTGGGTGCTGGTTTTGGCACCAAGAGGTGTGGGGTGGAGCCCAATAATTTTGAGGGTTTAAATATGGCATTTTATTGTGGGGGGCAGTTGTGGCTTAAACACTGACTGGTGAATTACTAGCTCTGTGTGTTCTCAATAAATTTCTAGTTGATTCAACTGGGTTGATTTATTGCTACACAGAGTTACTGAATTTAGTAAAGTCTGACACTGGGAAAACCATATAACTCTTGGAAAAATTATTTAACTCCTGAAACACTGGCCTCAGGACCCATTTCTTGCTATAAATACATGTGCCTAGACAGTAGCACATT